CACAAAGCGCCCTAAGCCGCCCCCTCCTCCTTATATTGTTTAGATTTACCCATCGTTCCCAATAATGCTTTCCCAATTCTCTCAATCACTCACACACACACACACACCTTCCTTCCAGCCGTGAATTACAGCACATCTCACCCTCATCCCAAAAATGATTCATTTTTCTATTACAGAGATGACTGTGTGAAATGAGCTATGTAATCAATACCATACGTTTGTAAACAGCTCCAGTTCTCCAGGGAACCTCTTTTTTTACTTCATGCTCAAATAATCTGTGCCCTGTCAAAAGCAATGGAGGGGCCCCCTCATTTTACAATGTGTTTACAGGGGCAATTTAGCCGCCTGCAAATAAAATGACCTTACTCTAGTATGTGTGTACACAGGTATTCCTTTTGGATTGGCATAGAGGATGTAAAGTTGATCAATAAAGGCATTCATGCACATTTCTCTGTGCATGTGCAGCACTTTGTTGCCCTTACGTAATCATTTTTGCGTGTGATAGTGTGTTAATATCTTGTTTGGTGTGAATAAGATAGATAAGTGGCATAAGGTCACGACCAAGTCACAACCTCTCATTACAGCTGCCCAGTTCAGGCAGAAAAGATGGCATTCAAACTCATGATAGTGTGTTTTAAAAGCACAGTTCACTTCAAATTAAAAGTCTATCATCATTTACTCTCCCTCATGTCAAATGAACACAAAAGGAGATGTTTTGATGAATGTTCACACTGCCCTCTTCTGTAAGTAAATTATGGCACTCATTTTTGGATAAACTATTTTATGGGTTATGGGTTCATAAAGCTTTAAAATAAGCTACAATGGCTAAGAATTAAAAAATAAACTAACACTTTATTTCTTATTTTAATTCATGACAACTGTCATTCTTATTTATGAACCGGGATTCTCATAAACATGGAAAGCATGGACGTATAAGAGAATTTTAAATGTGTGGAAAAGTCATGGAAATGAATAAATCTTTATAGGAATTTTTATAATTAATATACATTTTTGTAGTTATGTCAAAATGTTTTAGTATATAAAACATGTGTTAGTATATAAATTCCTGAAAAATTTATATTTGTGAGTGAGCAAATAAATAAATAAAGCAACAGCAACTTGAAAAGTCCTTTAAATTTAATGGTAACAAAAAGTGTAAACACTGAAAAATACTCAGTTATTAGAACTTCTGGAATTATGGGATTTAATTAATTTAGTATTTATCTTTCTTTTTTTTTTTTCATTATTTGAATACACTGCCACTGCTAGTTTCTGTAAATAAAAAAGTTTGAAACTGAGTAACTTTGTCAATATAACAGAAGTGCCAGAAATAACTTAGGAGGCCTCAAAATAATGTCTTTGAGAATATATCATGCAATATTTTTAATGAAGTGTTAAATAAAGTAAACATACAAAAAAACACATCGCTCTCAGTGCCAGGATGAGAATCAGTGCCAAGCTAAATTTACATTAAATGACTTCCTGTGATGCAACATTATTTAAAGAGTGGAGGTCTATCCTGAAAGGAAAATTAATCTAAAGCAGCAAAAAAGTGATTTTTTTGGCATAGCCGACTCAAATCTGTTAAGTCTTTTGTAAACTGAACAGCAAAAAAACTATTGCAGACAAATGCAGTCATTCAAAGTATTTTTTTTTTTTTAATCATTCAGAGAGCTTCTCTCTTTCCACAATGGCAGTTGCTCTCCTATGTCTCTTGATATTTAAGTCACCAATATATCAACCAATGTAGATGGACTGGATATTGACATCACTGAACAAAGAGATCAGATTTCATCACTTGTGGTAAAGTCCTAAAGATTGGGAAATCGGATTTATGTGCAGTGTGAACAAAGCTTAAGTGCTTAGCTGTTTACAACACAGACAGACTCATGCAGTTCTGTGTTTGGGAATTTACTCACATATATCGGAGCTTGCAGTCTTTCATCCTCGGCGGTGATTCTTTCTCTCAGTATGGCTTTCTGGATGCTCTGCTCTTTCTCTAATGCGAGGATCCTGCTCACCTCGTCCTTTACCTGGGCTTGAGCTTCTGCCTGGGCCTGAACATGAGCCTGGGACTTTTCCTTTTCCAGCCTAAATGCAAAGCAGCACAGAATACAGAAAACTTCAGATCTTTTGTCAACATTACCGCTATTCAAACGGCTTCTATTTAAAATGAAACCATTTGTTTTATAACATTTGAAACATATTAGGAATATCAAAATTACCAGTACTTCAAATATTATTTTATTTCATTATTTTATTTAGTTAAGTTAAGTTGTGAAACTAATCTTCAAGAAAACCAAATAGATGGCTGCTTTCGAATGAAGGTTGAATGGTCAAAATGTCCAAAATTGTGTATTAATTCAAACACAGATAATTATATCATAACTGGCAGGACAAAACTAGCAAACAATAAAAAAGTACAAATATCGGATCATTAAGCTTTTAGTGTAAATGCAGCCTAATAGACCTGCCACTGTCTATTTTGTTGCTAACAATAAATTATACAACAATATTGACAACAAAAAAGAAAAAGCACTCAATGTTCTTGGCTGGATCATTTTAAGAGCTTTAATAAGCCTTCTACAATCAAAAATGAACATTAGCCCTGAAAAAAAAAGAAAAACCATACAGCTAATTTTAATTACAGGCCTGCATCTCAGTCAAACTCAGACAGCACTGAATCACTATTAACGCATTATGTCTAATAATCATGCACTGAAGACTATGCCAATAATGTAATTAAGAATAATTTGAAGGCTACATGTCATTGTTCCACTTTAATTAGTTAATATTCATATTAATATTTAACTTTTTAAATAAATGACTGAGTTCAATAGCACATTGGTATGATTCATTTTCCTAGTTGAAACTTTTTAAGTGAAAAACATAAGCAAGTTTTTTAAAAATCTCAAAAATAAGATTAAGAAAGTTTATAATTTTTTTTGTGCGAGGCCACATATATCAAATGCTTTGAATCACAGTTTGGGAAGAATATGGTTATAGTACCAGCCTCGAAAGAGGGAAAAAGCGCTCATATATCAAATGAGATTTTGAATATGTTGCCTCATTTGAAGTTGTGTAATAGGTATGTGGCGGTAATAATTCTTTGATGTTTTTGAGATAACCCTGCGGAGCTATTTGGAATTTTGAGCTGGAATGTTGAGAGACTTTATGAGCTGTCACCCGGTTCTCACAGTTGCCTAGCAACCTCAGCTGCACCATCAAGCAGGAGGTTTGATTTGTAAAGTAAACTCAGGCAAGATACAGACTGTAATCTGTATGCTGTGTTTTCAATCAAACAGCAGCCATGTAAAAAAAAAAAGAAACCAAAGAAGCCGAAAATGGCAATAAGGGAGGGTATAATTATAACACTGCTGAAACAAACACAAAGTGTGTGAGATTTCCAAAGACGTGCTCAAAGTTCCATAAAAAGTTTGAGCAATACAAACACACAAAAATATATACTAATACAAAAAATATTAAAAATACAAAAATACTGAGGGAACGCAATGGAAACTCAACACCAACAATAAAAGAAAACATTTTATTACACACACACACACAAACACATATACTGTATATCTATCTTTTTTTTTCAACAAATGGTCATTGAAGCTTGTGAAAGTGCTTAACCTTCAGAAAATGTTGATGGTCAACCTCAAGAGATAAAACAAAATATTATAGATTTTATTCATGCTGTATGGGTTGTGTAATTTTTCAAAATGTCTAAACAGAGTTTAAAAAAAAAATCTAATTTAATATTTTGCAGTTTTTTCACAATAAAAAATAAATTAAATTAAATTAAATAAAAAAAGAGGGTTGCAAGAAACAAGATTGTCGTTATAGTTGCAGCTGGGTTAGAGAGTGTGATAGATAATTAAGGATTAGTTTGATAATAATAAACTTGGATTTCTCACATATTTTTTTAACATGCAACCCTTTTACCTTAATTATTTATAAGTTTGATGAATGCAGCCAAAATAATAATAAAATAATGAGAATAAAATGAAACAATATGAGATTATAATTATTTTCTCCTCTTTCTGATTTATTTCTCTTTTTCTTTCTGAATTCTGATTTTCTCTTGATCTTTTCTGCCACATTGTAAAAAACGGTTTTGATACCCCAAAAAGTACTGTCTTCATTCAATATGACAGAAAGCAACAGCAAACTCTGATTTATGATTAATGTGTGTAAGTTTAGCATGTGTAATTTTACTTGCAACCAAACAAGAATAAGAAAAGACAGAAAGAAAAATTAATATTTGGTGTCGTCCTGTTGTGTTCCTGTGTTTGTGAACACACACATCATTGAGCATTTTGTTCTCCTGAGAAAAGTGTGAGCGACTCCAGCCATGTCCATTTTCAGTCTACTGAACTGGACACATATCAGCACAACACATCCATCATTACTTCCCTCTCTGGTATTGTGTGTGTTTACGCCATCTTCCAGGACTAAAAATAGGCCAAAAGCGTCAAGTGAGCACAATAGTGTCGCTTGCAGGGCAAAAAACACGGGCCACTCAAATCCAATTATGTTCATCTAAAAAAACAAACAAAAAAAAAACAAAGAATATGCTGCAATTACAATACCTATGTGCACCACACAACACCACACTTTCAAAATAACACTGCAATTTCCTTCCTAATTGATTAAAGGGATAGTTCATCCAAAAATAAAAATTTGCTGAAAATTTACTCCATCTCAGGCCATCCAAGATGTAAATGAGTTTGTTTCTTCATCAGTACAGATTTGAAGAAATACAGCATTACATCACTTGCTCACCAGTGGATCCTCTGCAGTGAATGGGTGCCATCAGAATGAGAATCCAAACAGCTGATAAAAACATCACAACAATCCACAAGTAATCCACACGATGCCAGTCCAACAATGAATGCATTGTGAAGCAAAATGCTGCATGTTTGTAATAAACAAATCTAGGGTTGAACGATTTTGGAAAATAATCTAATTGCGATTTTTTTTACCAATATTGCGATTGCGATTTAATATGCAATTATTTTTTAAAGCTCTTTATGAGCTATAAATTATTGTATAGTATGACCAACACACTATTAGATAGATTAAACATAAATGTTCTTTTCTGTAGGCCAGGCCTATATGTTACAATGAAATTAGGTGATGCATGAATTGATATGAATGACATTTTTATTTAACAACTACAATCACAGTACATTGACTGATTTGTTGAACTTCCAACCTTGTAAGCATGTAATAATTATGACAACATAAAGCACTGACAAATAAGCCTGATGTAAACATGAATATGAAAGTCAGTAACAAATGACACAAACTAAAGTAGATTGCAGAAATATAAAAACAAATCTGTTGCTTTACCACACTACTTTAGGTAATTCAAAGTCAATGTAATAAACATATGTAAACATGTGGACTGCACTAAACACTGTCTGTTAACTTTAACCACTGTTAACCACTTTGAGAACAGTGGTTCTCAAACTTTTTTGGTCGCGCCCCGTGTTTTTTCATATCGCGATATTATCGCAAATGCAATTAATCGTTCAGCCCTAAACAAATCCATTATTAAGACATTTTTGTCTTCAAACCACTGCTTCCTCTATTCATAACATTGCTTTCTCCAATGAAAAAGTCATCTCATTTCAATCAGGAGAGAAATATGCACAAATCAAGCACTGTTTACATGTGGAAACAGTCCAAAACAGTTCAAAACAAATATGCTGGTGGATTTTAAAGAAAATTTGGTGCAGTCATTGAGTCATTGTGGATTATAGACTCATATTTTAGCAACAGTTTTAAGTTAAAATACCTTAATGAAGGATTTGTTTCTTGCAAGTGTGCAGATTGCTTCAAGACATTAAATGATGGACAGCAAACGTGTTGTGGATTATTGTAATGTTTGTATCTGCTGTTTTCATTCTGACGGCACCCATTCACTGCATAGGACCCATTGGTGAGCAAGTGATATAAGGCTACATTTCTCCAAATCTATTCTGATAAAAAAACAAACTCATCTACATCTTGGATGGCCTGAGAACGAGAACATTTTCAGCAAATTTTCATTTTTCGGGTGAACTATTCCTTTAATGCAGGTAGGTGAGGACCTCTAAAGCAAAGAAGACCATACCATTTCTTTAGCCATACAAGAAGACCATACCATTTCTTTAGCAATAACCTGATCATTATTTCATGACAGGAAGAGAATAACACTGACAAGACTTGTTAGTCAGAGCTGAAATAAATGGGTTGTACCACTCTTTGATTGGTAAGACTTGGAAGAAAAACATTTCCACACTCTCAAATACTGAGCAGCTTCCAATGAAATGGACCATTCAGAAGAGAGCATGACCTTAAAATCAAATCAAAGCAAAAAGTTTCTAAATAATTCAAGCTATATTTCAGGAACCTATCTCACTCTCTCCATCACAATAAATAAACTATGCTTTGATAATGTCAGCCGGACAGTACCTGAACTATTCGGATATCCTTCAGAGTCCCATGGCTATTTAATGTTACACTGTATCGATGCCGTCTCGAGTCTCATCTTAGAAAAGGTCTGAATATCAACAGCTGTACAGAGACTGGCCTTGGTACGTAAGGGACCAGTATAATTTACTATTTTTTTAAGCCGCACACCTCTGTACACCTGCAGGAGCTGATCTCACTTCCCCTCCGCTATCCCACCATCTGTGGGCTCTCTCCTGCAATTTAATTCACCGCTTATTCCAGACAAAACGAATTCTGACACGCCTGTACAAAAGTTATAGAATGTTTCCCTCTGCAATAGCATTTAAAGGAGCCATGTGTTATTAATGAGGCAAAATAATGTGCAAGAATGCAGGGTTTGAATATTTCATGAGCCTCCTGCGCCCCCTCCCTGGTTGCTGGTCGTGTGGCTGTTCCTTTATGGTTCTCACTTCGG